CGACAAACAAGTAATTCGACGACAGTCGAAGTTACGTACACGGCTAAGGCCATCGACAGTATTATGGCTAAGGCTAGCATGATCTCCAATGTATAAACGGCTAAGGCCATCTCCAATGTATGAACGGCTAAGGCCATCTCCAATGAATGAACGGCTAAGGCCATCTCCAATGTATGAACGGCTAAGGACATCTCCAATAAATGAACGGCTAAGACCATCTCCAATGTATGAACGGCTAAGGCCATCTCCAATGAATGAACGGCTAAGGCCATCTCCAATGTATGAACGGCTAAGGCCATCTCCAATGTATAAACGACTAAGGACATCTCCAATGTATGAACGGCTAAGACCATCTCCAATGTATGAACGGCTAAGGCCATCTCCAATGTATGAACGGCTAAGGCCATCGACAATATTATGGCTAAGGCCATCGTCGTCAACAAGTCGACCCAGCTCGACCGCGACAAACAAGTAATTCGACGACAGTCGAAGTTACGTACATGGCTAAGGCCATCGACAGTATTATGGCTAAGACCATCATCGTCAACAAGTCGACCCAGCTCGACCACGACAAACAAGTAATTCGACGACAGTCGAAGTTACGTACATGGCTAAGGCCATCGATAGTATTATGGCTAAGGCCATCGTCGTCAACAAGTCGACCCAGCTCGACTGCGACAAACAAGTAATTCGACGACAGTCGAAGGTACGTACATGGCTAAGGCCATCGACAGTATTATGGCTAAGGCCAATTAGACCTAACAGTCGCCAATCCTGTCCGACTACGACGAAAGGCACTCAACTAACAATTGAAGTGATGCCATCATTAGCTAAAGCCACCACTATTTAGCGTCAAAGCCGCATCCTATCGGCGGATAACACAGACAACGTTCAAGAAACACACTGAAAATCCTACAAATGAGCACCCGCTCTGCGGAGACAAGGTACCAAAAATAAAAGATACAAAAGGAAAAGAATGGCAGCAAAAGTACGACTTTCATTATCATTCAAAAAATGCATGTACACCTGACCTTACAAAAGGTCCCATTTACATTCCAAAAATACAACAAAACAAAATATATACAAGTCCTAAGAGGCCTCGCCGCTTCGCCCGTCACCCCCAGCGTGACCGCCATTCTGCTCTTCGTCCCCCGCCTGACCGACATCTTGTTCATCGCCGCCCCCGGGTTGATAAGTTGCAGAAATCCAAGAGCCGGATTCTAGACGGTTGACGTCTTCGGAGTTATAGCCCGCCCGATCTGGGGAATCAGAACTATACCCACAAGTTTCACGGGCGACGCGGGCTATGCGCCGTTGCTCCTGAACCTCCGCCTCAGTGGCTCGACCCGCAGCTAAGAACTCCTCGAATACGACCAATCTGGCCTCGGCGTACACCCACATATCATGCGCCTCACGATGCGCATCCTCATCAGGCCTTGGTGCAGCAGTCCGCTTAAGGACTTCAATCTCAGCCGCCTTGGCATCGAGTTCGGCGGTCAAAGCGGCGACCTTGATCCGCAAATCAGCAGCTTCCGCCGCTACCCCACGGCCAACCTCCAACTCTTCTTCCTTAGACTGGAGAAGAGTCTCCAGCTCAATGTTCCGAGCCAGAGCAGTCATCAGCTGCTCGTCGACCTGCTCCAGCTCGGCCACCCTCCGTTTCAATTGGGCCTCCGACTGTTCGAGCCCCTCACGAAACACCCGAAATTCCGGGTCCTGCTTGAGCAGGTCCGCCAGCGCCCGATGCTTGGTGCGGCACCGTGGGTATTTCTTCACCATCTTGTTGAAAGTGGCTGCCTTCTTGTGCGCCCGCCGCCTCCTCTCCACCTCCAAAATGAGAGTCTATAAAGGAGAAGAAAAAGAGAAAAGACAGGTCAGTACGCATCACAGTTAGCCCTACGGCACACAGAGAAAACTGAAAGCTACCTGCAAGGCCGCGCCAGCGACCCTCCGAGATAGGTCCCCGTCGCTAACACCCTCCAACATTTCACGCTCAGCAGCCGCACATAACAGGGTCATATCCGCTGCAGCCTGCTCGCTGTGTTGCAACAGGTTATACCCTCCTGGGATCATAATTCGGCGGTTAGACCTACCCGCCGTCATCTCCACGTGGGCTGGACCCCTCGTCAACCCATCTGCATCTCCACGGGCGGCCTCAGTATCCGCCCTCGCGACACCATCGCCCACTTCTTCAACATCGGCCGACGAACCGCTCTTCGGAACACGGGCTGGGCTAGCATCGACAACAGCTCTCTTTTGTGGAGCCGACCTCCTAGAACGGATAGCGTCGGCCATAAAAATCGGCCTCGATACTTGACGAGGTTCACTTACCCTTTCGTCTTCAATCGCTATCCCCTTGCCCGTTATCAACCGCCGGCTCTTTCTCTCTGGCGGCTCCTCACCTTCGGAAGTCTCCTCCGTAAGCCGCGGGGACGGCACTGAAGGAATTGCTTCACTTGCAGACGCCGCCATAGGCGCAGCCTCCTGCTGAGGAACCTCTGAAGCGCCATCGCCAAACGAGCCGCAGGGTACGTCTTCGCCATCAGAGTCGGTCTCCGCCCTAGGCGAGGCAACAACGGCCTTCTTCTTCTTGGGGGCGCTCCGACCTGCCAACACGAGTAGGTTAGCTAACAGAATCTAGGGGAGTTTCCAAACCAAGGCCGAAGAATTACCTGTCGGGCCGTACTGTTGAAGAAATGCAGCCCAGGTACGTCATTCCTCTGCAAAAGGTAGTAATCTTTCCACCCATGATTTAATATCATCAATAAACTGGGGTGGAGAAGCCCTCGCTACAAAAAAAGAGAGAAAAGAATGAAATCACGGTGGCCAAATGGTCAAGGTCGCGAACAGTCATGAATCCTGCAAATAAAGGTACTCACGATCTGGGTTCCACCTTTCCGGGAATCCTTCAGGCTTAGACACCAGGTGCTCCGTCCTGATGTAGAAGTACCTACACCAGAAGAGGCGGTTGGCCTTGTCGTCAGCCCTAACTACCAAACCCTTCGTACCACGGCTTTTCAATTGCAACATGGTACCCCTCAGCTAACCAGGGCTGAATAACTTTAAGAGATGGTGAACTGAGACGCCGCACTCAGCCTTAGCCGCCTACGTGGTCAGAATCCTGCACACCTTCAAGGTGTAAGGAGTAAGCTGAGTCGGGCACACATTGTAAAAGCGGCGAAGCTCCTCCGCTAGAGGGAAGATCGGGAGACTATAGCTGATCTAAAACGGGTACTCGTAAAATGTGCAGTACCCAGGCCTGTGCACATTGGCGTAGTCCATCCCAGCCGGAGCCATTTCCACATGGTCCGGAATGTTATGTGCCACTCGAAGGTCGTCTAGATGAGATTGCAGTAAATCGCTACGCTCCCAGGGAAGGGCTGGACTTTTCGTTTGAAAATCCCTTCGAATATGCATGTCCTTTGGGAGGACGTTTTCAACAGAAAGGGGAACGAGGGTCTTTTTTACTTCCTCCCCTTCACCGCCAGAGGAAGGCGGAACCCTAGATGGGTCAGTGTCCTTGGTCTTTTTGCCACCTTGACTACGTTTTACCATGATGATTCTGTTTGGGAAATAACGCACTAACGACGAGAAATATGACTCCAAAAGAAGTGGAGGAATCCCACACGAAATAACGGTTACAGGAAAGAAAGACAAAGGAGTAAATCAGAAAATGCTTTCTGAAGGTTTGAAAGTTGAATCGAATCAAACCTCTCTCCTATTTATAGGGATAAGTTGCGCAGAAATCGAAGAGTCATGATTCAAAACGTGCGCGGGAAACCAAAATGTCGCATCATCCTCTGAACCGCCTCGGGGGCAAATATAATAATGACGCATACAGGCGATGACGTCATTCCAAAAAGAAAGCCACGCGTCAGTGGCTCAACAACATCATACATTCTACCTCATTCATGTTGCCGCCCCTGGTCGAGGTCAAATTCTCCTAAGCTGAGGTTTGCATTTCCGCCCATTGAAGACGTCTACCGAATGCGTCTCCAACGAGCGAAGGGACTAACTGTATAGGGTCAAATTTGACCATCAGCGTCTCTACGCCAATGGGTACGCCCAGTGAGTATACGCCGACTAACGTAAGGGTACGACTTGGACGTGGGGACAAAAACGACATCGTTTAGGACTCGGTGTCTTCACTAGGAAAGCATTACCTATTTTTGTAACTTTTTGATTATTTCGAGGAAGGTCTCTTATTATATAAGGGAGACCTTCACATTGTAAAAAGGGGGGATTCTAAAAGAATACAACGCTCTCATTTTTCTCATACTCTCTCTCTATCGCTATCTCTAACGAATACTTTCTCTTGAGTTCATATTATCACTATTAGATCTACAACAACAACTTCATTTTTCATCTCTAGGTCTATTATATTTGATTACGATTTACCTTTTCTTATTTTTGATTGTTTTTAAGCTTGCAAAGTATATCGATAACTTTTGAGCCAAACAGAAAGCCTCAGTTCTTCATCGGTTTCACTAATTAAGTTATGTCCGCCTTCAAACGAGACTCTTGCTCATTATGACACATAATCAAAAACTTTTAGTTTCTGAACTTCCAATTAACTAATTAAATGATCGCTTAACATCTGGTCCCCGTTGGTCATAAACGTATACATTCTAACCATGGTTAAAATCCAACTTTAGTTAATCAAAGATAAATAAGTGATATTTAAAAGGTGACACAAGAACTTGAAAAGATAAAGACAACGAGGAGCTCCGAAAAAAGTAACCCAATTTTATTTGTCTATGCTGAGATTTGAATCATCATTTCTAATTTTTCTTAGCCCTCATTCCGGTTAAAATCGGTAAGTAGGCTACACAGATGCTTTTATTAACCCAAAGAAAGAGAAAATTTAAATGGAAATCCACTTGTTAATCCATGAAAGACATCGGACACTCTTACCTCAACTTTTTTTTTTTTAAAATTCTCCATGCTCATTCTATAGGCATAGTACTCAACATTGGGAGAGTTCAAAATGTGCAGAAAGAGAACGAAATAAATCCTCTTAGCCTCCACTTCAACAAATTCTTTAATGCTCAAAAGAGACATCCATATTACGCAGTTCAATACTACAGTTAATATGCCACCACTCTATAGGTGCTTTCTTCAGCTATAACTGATGTGAGTTCTAATTCAATATTAAAAACACAATTCATGTAAAACCTGTGGTACAAATCTCATCTATCCACGTACAGATATCAAACATATACGCCCGAAGCAAGTAGCAGGAACAAAGATCCGAAACCCTGCACCAGGTTGGGTTTGGAAGAGAGAGGACGGTCAGTATGAGCAACCATTGAAAAGGAAAGATCAAATCATTTTAGTGGACTTACCAAGAAAACGGACGCTACGGCACCAGATGTAAGCTCCTTTGCAAGACTGCGATTCTTTCTTGAAGAAGTAGCCTCATAGCTGTCAAATATTTAACAGCTAGTTACATGAAAAAGATATAAGACAGAGCTTTTAGGACGGAGATTCAGACTAAAAATGCTTTTAATCTCATAATATAAGCTCGATCAGCAAATTACGAGAATTTCGTAACCCAGTAATTTGGGTATTCATGTATCTAAAAGATGATGAGAATATTCAACATAATCAGAGAGGTCAATTTATTTGATTTCCTGATACCATTTAAGTGCTTCATCCATTCATCAGAATGTTGCTCAACAAATACTACGCAGGGCAGCTTTTCTAGAAATACTCAACTTGCTATGTTGCACAAGGATTTGGAAATATGGATGAGAAGTACCATATACCAGTACAAGGAAAGATGCTTAGGCAAAAAAGCGATCTGAGTATCTAGGGTTTTGAGGAAAACAAAAATTCTGAGGTAAACAGATTTTTGTTAAATGAGGCCACACTCAACTTACAATCAAAAGGAACAACTACTTATCATCTGCTATTTGCTCAAAAGTAATTCAAGAATAAAGATGTTCTTACCCATGTTTTCTCATACCCTGTCTAAATTCTGACGAGGTGCGACAATGCAACATCAAATTGCAGTGACTTATAAAGCGCTATAAACTACAAGTCCTAAAGCAAGCAAAAAAAAAAAAAGAAAGAAGTTTGTGGAAAGTTGATATTCTCTTAGTAGTAAGGATCTATTTTTCAGTTGATAATGATAAAGTTTGGGCCAACTTGATTGTTTCACCAGATACCTAATATGTCTCACCGGCACAGGTATCGGTTAACTCTGTCCACCATAATTGAGGAAGATGGGAAAAAATCACCTAGCTTTTTTTTCTCCGCGGGGTCTGAACCCTGGTCTCCAAGGTTTGTGCCCACTTACTCGACCACTACGCCACACCCTTGGGTGTGTAATAAGTATCAATTTCTATGATAAAAAGAAATTTTTAGTGACAAGATCCAAGAGACAAACATTCTCTAAAAGTAGGGATGGCAAACAGTGCGGGACGGTGTGGCTGCAGGCAAACCCGCATAAACCCGTGAAGACTTCAACCTGCCCCGCCCTGCTTAAATTCTTCCATTATATTTTTTTAATGAATTTGATAGTAAAATATCAGCGTCATAAAATTTCTTTTCATTTTTCTGTTAAGTAGTATTGAATTAGTTTAAAAGTTTTTTATTATCTTATAAAACACATGTTGAAGATGTTCTAAATGATATCATAATGAATTAATTATATTTTATTGATGAATTATGGTATTTGTGAGTGAACCATGATTAGGATAAGCAGCTAATTAAATGTAGATCATGATCTTAGTATACTAGACTATGACAAGAGACATGAACTTACTTTGATAGGCAAATACAATCAGCAAACAAAGGGCTGTACAATTGCTTTGATAAATTTTCTATTATTTTGTTGAGGTTGAAATTGATCACAATAAAGTATGTATTTCTATGCAAAGGAGACAAGAAACAGCACAAGCAATCAAAAAAGCTAATTTTTCTAGATCATTAAGAGAACAATCAGAAATTTTAAGCTAAAAGTTGTTTACTAAAAGCTTATCGCAACTTTTCAGAAAATTTACAGAGATAGAGCCGAGAGACGAAGAGCGAAGGCCGAAGAAATTTAGCAATAGCTTAAAAGTTTTAATTTTTGAAAAAGATTTAAATCCTAACCAACACCCGCAAGTATCTAAACTTGCACCGCCCCATTGCCATCCCTGTCTAAAAGAAATCAGAAAGGGCAAGAAGTTCCAAATGGAAAAAGACAAATGAATTTGTAAATGCTCCCC